AGAACAGAACAGAACAGAACAGAACAGAACAGAACAGAACAGAACAGCAATCCTCAGGTGAGTGTCCTGAAGTATCACCCATGGGTTTGTTAGATATGTAAATCTTATGTTTCATGTCATTCAGACCCAGCTCAGAAGTCTTGAGGATGGGGTCTGGCAACCTGTTTGCTTTGGTTTGATTGTCTGACTATTTTTGCAGTTTTGAGACAGATCTCATTGTATAGGCCTGGGTGGCTTGGAACTCACCATGTAGACCAGACTAGCCTTGCTGCAGTCCTGTTTCTTCTCCACCTCTTAAGTTCTGGGATCACAGTGATGAGTGTCAGTAATAGTGAAGGGTATACTTCAAAAGATGACTCAACTGGTCAGAAAATGGTTATGTCCAGCATTTTGATGAGACAGCAGAGAGATCAACGACTTACCTTTTAAAGATTTGTTGAAGTTTCAAAAACAACATCAAAGGGTTAGAAATCAAATAATGCAACTTTACTCTCTAGAATATTCCAATGTTTGAAGCAGTAAATTCCATGAAGAAACCAGGAATTCCTGTGGTTGTTTCTTCTCATTGTTTGGTGTATTTCCTTCTATCTCCACTTCCCTACCACCACCTCTGCATCTTTCCTCTGAGCATACCTTTAACTGTTGTAAAATCACCACCACAAACTGCCTGTAGCCCTCGAAGTCAGCACATGGGTTACCCATGAGGAACAGCTCCTTCAGATGAATATTGTGTGTCAGGGTTTTAACACTGCTAAGTTCTCCAATAAAATTTACAGTCAAGTCAAGTTTTGTTAGCCACTCACATCCTGTAAAGGAGGAAAAAGAAGAAGAAAAAAGAGGAAAAGGTGACAGTAGTAATAAATTTGTACAGTACCTGAGAGCTTCACTAGACATTCTGATACCAGAACACAATAGGCACGTCTTTGATGGACCGACATTATGTCTGCTTCTGAACTCCCTATAGTTGTTGCTGAACTAGGGGAAGGCTTACCTGGTTAACATGGCAGCCCCTATAGACTTGGTTCAGTAAAGGCTGGCTTTCCTTGTGATTTAATGATGCTTGTGAGGATGACATGGCAAACTCAACAGCCTTCAGTATTTGAAGATTAAATCTAGGTGGTCAGTGCATCCTGGCCCTAAGTAAACTTAGTTCTCCAAACTTCTACAGTTCCACCATACCCCGTGCTTTCCATTATACTAATTTTCTGTTGTTTTCTGGTGGCCATGTCAGCAAATTGAACTTGACTTAGCTTAGTTCATAGCTCTGCAACCTTGTTCCATTTGGTAAGTTTTATCCTATTTCTCAAAATTGTACAATGGAATTCAATTATTACATGATGGTTTTCCTTCCCCCTTCACCTTCCCTTGGTCTCAGCACCTGACTCCACCTTGTCCTGGGCAGGAGGTCATTTACAAGGGCAGCGTATCAAGTGGCTACATCACTAGTAAGAATGGCACCCCTCCTCTCAAATTTTCTCATAGATTTCTATCTTTGAAACCTACTATGAGCATTGTAATTTTGGTTCTTATTAACTTTCACTTGAAATATGAAAGTAATCTTCTAAGCCCACTTAAACTGAGAATGTATAAAAGGGAGAAAGGAGGAAAGGTAGATCGATGATAGAGAGAACTCAACACCTTGACATGTCACAAAGCAGGGAAGTGTTCAGAAACTGTGGAGAGCACATGGGGACATGGGGGGCTGTTTGGAAGAGCTGCTCTGGCCACACCTGGAACAATGTGAACATTAAACTAAAAAGCGGATATAAGAAATAATGAACAGATAAGTGCAGAAGGTGAGGTTCTTGATTAAAGTTAAATATCATCCAACGAATGTGCAATAGTGGAACTGCAGGATCATTACTGACAATATTAAAACCAACATGAAAGTATGATAAGGGACAGGATGTTCACATAATTTCTTAATATAGTTCCATCAGTTACTTATTAACTCAAATAGAAAATGCAGGAGCTATAAAGTAGAGTGACAAGTTAGATACTGACTGTCCTTTTCTTCTTTTTGTGACAGTTAGACATTCTTTAATGTTTAAATTCTCTGTATGTCTTTTGTCCTTTCTGATATTTTCTTGTAATATGATTGAATACTTATAACCTATCTTCTTCTCTTACTATCAGAGCTCCCTGGACACTGGAAAATTATGTTTAAAACTGATTTGCTACTACATACATGAAAGTCTTTAGCATAATGCAAAAGGTTAAGACATGTTTGTGCAAAAAAGAAGGCAATGGTGGAAGAAAGAGAGGGAAGGGATAAAGAGAATAATGGAGGTAGAGGAGGGGTAGTGGGTGATAGAGCAGGTTGGACACCAGAGAACTGGCATATGAGAATCTCTGCTAGTGTTAGCTGCTTTACAAATATCATCATTTTTATCCTCCTCCTCATCATCACCATCATCTTCATCACCATCCTCTTTGTCACCATCATTACTACCACCATCACCATCACCATAATGTTAAAGTTCCTATAATAAAGCTTTTATGCCAAACATATTTGAGTATCTATCTAAATAAAAGCATTCATCACCACCAAGCTGGAAGTGACCTAGACTGGTCTGAATTTGAATCCACAATGGTGGAAAGGGATACTCATTTTTAAGACAATACATTTGGTTTGTTTTATCTTTAAGTTTAAATGCTAATGTTCTATAATCTTGGTTTAACAGTGTTTCTACATATTACGTATGTGTGTATTAATTTGTATGTGTTCATGATAAAGTCACCAATGGGAGGGTATGATTAAAATTGGTTCAATGAATAAGTGAGCTGTCAGGTAAAATTAACATAGACTATACTTCTAAACGAATATGAGTTTAAGACCAAAAGTCCCAGCTCTGACAGCACCAATAGTGTCTGATCGGCCCTTAATTCCTAAAGACTGCTGTCCTGCCCACTCAGACTCAACGCTATCACATCCAAAGGATAAGCGTTCCCAGTGCATGGGACATCGCAAATCTGGCTTCTGAATGCACAGGATGTGATGATTGCCCAACAGGATGACTGTGAACTGAGGTCCCCAGGGAAAGGAGGCACTTGTATTGATTGGTGCTGCTTGACTGATCAGAACATTATGACTGTAGAGACCTGGAATACAGTAAACACAGAGCCCAGCTGCCTCAGCAATCTTTAGTCCCTTCAAAGCCATTTAACACTCACCTTCTGTGTCTGATCCAGTGTCCTTTCAACTACAAGGCAAAACCTTCAGAATGTGTGAAATTAGCAGATCATGAGCTTCCAGAAAGTCAAAGGCCACCAGACAGCATCAGATCCAAAGCAGGCAGCATGCTTCTCCTTGCTTTGCTATAACCCACAGACCTCATCTCGGGTCCCCATAACTCTTCTGATACATGACTTTATTCAGTGACATAAGAGGTCATGTACACTTTCGCTATTAACATATGATCTGGGGGAAACACTTTGGGTTATTTCTAGACCATGTTCATTCTACTTGGCTCAGAATAAAAAATCTCTTGCTACCTGTGAGATGAGAACCATGCATTGTATTGACACTGATATTACATTTACCTTGGGGAGGCTCTGCAAAACATTTAGTGTTCTTTTTCTTTCACATAAGAAAAGGTTGATTTCCAAGATTCCAGCAAGATGAAAATGCCATGGTTTTGGGTTATATGGATGAAGGTCTCAGGACTGTTCATGTGTTCATAATAGCTTTTTTTAAAAAAGTTTTCACTTTGCTTATACTTGGCCTAAATGTAAAAATTCAAACCATGTTTTCCATGTCACAGATGACATGTCCCTAGGTAGCCAAACTTGACCACCCATTCTCTGCCAAGGCAAGCATTCTCTCCTCCACCTTTTGCCTTCTATCCTGAAGAAGACCATCTACTGACCCAGGCCTCACAAACACTTAGTGCCCTCCCCTTTCCTCCAGGTAAGAGCAGGATGGTTCTGGGAGAGAAGCATCAGGGACCTCATTCTACCCTGGTGACTCCTAAATGGAGAACAGAGAAGATGGGGAAGCAATATGGAGACAGGTGTCTTTGTTTTCCTTTCCCCTTCCCCCTCCTCTTCCCCCTCTTTCTCCTCCTCCTCTTCTTTGCCATCTAGGAAAAGAAGAGGGAGCAGGAAAGGGCACCGTTCCATTTTTAACATTTCACTGTAGCAGATGGACTGAATCATTCATCTATCTTCATCTTCTCTCACATCTAGCCCTCAAAGCAAAAGCACATGCATCCTAGGAGAAAAAAAAGAAAGAAAGAAAAAAAGAAAGAAAGAAAGAAAGAAAGAAAGAAAGAAAGAAAAGAGAGAGAGAGAGGGGGAGAGAGAGAGAGAGAGAGAGAGCCCCTTTTCTCTTTACTGTCTCTCTATATACTTTCTAATCTTGATATGCACGTCCCCAAACTAGCCTGAACCCAGTTCCTCCCCATTAGGGCTGGGAGGCCCAATACAGAAGGAAGCATCTGCCCAGACAGTGAAAGACTGGCAGCACACTGCTGTGACTGCAGTTTGCAAAGTTCAAATCACAATAGCAACGATGTTGCCCTCTAGTGGTAAATGATCAGAACCTCCGTTAAAAGGGAAGTCCCGGGTCCAGCAACAGCTTCTCAAGAAAAACAAGCCCTGGATAGCCCAAAACAGTGAGGGTTGTCGTTAACTTTCTGACAATTACAGTAAAATGTATTACCATGAACATACGTGATGAGTAAATGTTGTCATTCTATTTGACCACAAGCTAACAGTGACAGAGTTGTCATGTACAAGAGTAGTGACTGACTACTCTTCTAAAACAGGAAGACAGTGATAGAGCTCTGAATCTCAGTACTGATCCTGGATTTGGGGTTTTGATGCTGGCAATTTCCAGGTTTTGAGGATAGAAATCCAAAAGGAACAATGTGTACTTTTGGCTGTTGGTAAGTCACTGAGATTACCCTTTCTGCATGGAGAGACAAAGAGACTAGAACCCCTGTGTCCCAAGTGAACTCCTCCCAGTTTTAGCTATTGACAGATGGCAGTTGGGTGGCAGAGCAGCTTGCCTGCCTCTGCTCCACACCCCTCACTCTGCAGCAGGGCTGCCAGTCAACGTGCTCCACCCACTCACAGGGCAGACAGCCATGCCACACAGGAGAGGTTGCCTAGGGAAACAACCTCACAACTGCAAGCCCACACTAGCCACTGGACACACTGGAGTCTGTGTTTACTGTAGGACATGCAACTACTACCTAAATAAAATATCACCGAATAGAGAGTGGCGATCAAGAGAAGGCATTCAGAGAATGGCAAAGATTAAAATCAGAGTTCTAACTACATAAAAAATTGTTAGATGATATTTCATCCATCCAACAACAATCGCACCACAGAAAAGCAGCGATCAATACAAGGGTGAGTGAGAAGGTGAAAATTGTGGTTAAATCAAAGAGTTAATTGAAAATGAAATGAATTCTAGAATGAGAAAGAATTAACATAATTATTCTGGGATTTAAAGCTGGTGAGATGTCTCAGACTGCAGAATAAAAAGACAGACTAGTTTAAACAGATATGCAGCTTAGGAAGCATGGAGGTTCCAATGAGTATAATCACATCCAGTTAATAGACATGGGGGTTATTAAAATGAGATAGAAATGATTAAAGAAAGAAAGACATTAAGAAAAGAAAGGATATCTGAAAATAAAATAGGAGGGAAAAAAAGGAAAATGAGAGAAGGAAAAAATGTCAAGAATTCCTTATCCGGGGAAACTACTCTTCAAAATATTTTTTTTTACAAGTAAACAAAAACTGAGATTTCTGTCAACAGAAGATCTACCATACCAAAACACATTAAATGGCATCTTTGGGGTTGAAATGAAGACACTGGAGAGTAGCTCAAATTCATATGAAGATATCAGAATCAGCCTGTCAGCTGTTGTGGGTAGGGCTTTTGCAGTCACAGTGGCAAATTCCAGGACTATAAGCCACTGGATGGCTACTCAAGTGTCATTCAAGATACTCAATCCTAAAGCAAAGCCTGTTACCGTACAGGGTTGTCAGCTGGGAAGCACAGACAGGACAAGCCAGGCAGTGTGGACCAGCAGTGTGGATTAGCACTAGCATTATACCAAATGAAAAAAGCCACACCAAAGAATCATTTCCTCCCTCCCTCCCTTCCTCCCTCCCTCCCTCTCTCACATAACAGCTACCAAAGAAGCAAAGAGCCAAATGTCCATGTTTAGGCATTGCGAGGTCAAAGTCAGTGATATCCTGAAGAGATGAATGTTCAGAAGTAGAAAATGTATCTGCAGTGATGCTAGCAGCCCAGCAGAAGACAATGCCACAAAAAGTTGAATTCATTAAACCACACATGTTCATGATAGTGATCTGATCCTTAAAAACCTGTTCTCTACCATCTTCAAATTCAAATATTAAAACAAGGTAAGGCTTCTCAATAGAAGTAACTACATTAGTAAATGCAAAAGGCATGTAAACTCATTTTGTTTGTACTTATCCCTCCTAGCTTACTTTTAAATGACTATAAAATCAGTCATTATAAATCTGCACTGATGGGTAAGTAATATATAAAGACATGGTTTGTGGTGACTACAGCAAAAGGGAAAGACGGCACCATGAACACAATAGCAAGGTTTTGTCTACTATTGAAATTAACTTAGCATTAATTGGATAGAGACTGTCCTAAAACAAGATACAAATTTTAATTCCTAGGATGTGACTAGGATGGGGAGGGGAAAGAGGGAACAGGATCAGGGATGGGGAGGGCAGAAGAGAAGCCCAGAGGGGAAGGAGAATGGATGGAAATAAACAGCTTCAAGGGGTGGGTTGTGGGAGGACCCTCTGGAAAGTACCAGAGACCTGAGAGAAGAGAAATTCTCAATGCTCAATGGGGTGACCTTAGCCAAAGTGCCCAACACTGGGGACAGGGAAATCAAAAACTCCATCTCCAGTAAATAGACAGGTCCTCAAGTGTAGGGATGGGGTTGTCAACCCACAGTAAAAATTTCTGACCCAGAATTGTTCCTGTCTAAAAGAACTGCAGGGACAAATATGGAGAAGAGACTGAGGGAAGGGCAGTCCAGGGACTGGCTCAACTTGGGATCCATCTCATGGGGGTGGGGTGGGGGAACACCAAGGCCTGACATTATTACCAATGTTATGAAGTACTTACAAACAGGAGCCTGGCATGGCTGTCCTCTGAGAAGCCCTACCAGCAGCTGACTGAAACAGATGCAGATACTTACACCTAATCATTGGATTGAAGTCAGGGACCCCTATGGTTGAATTATGGAAAGGATTGAAGAAGCTGAAGGGAATGGCAAACCCATAGGAAGACCAACAGTCTCAACTAACCCAGACCCCAGGGAGCTCCCAGAGACTGAGCCACCAACCAGGAGCATACGTGGAGCAGCCTGAGGCCCCTGGCACATATATAGCAGAGGTCTGCCTGATCTAACCTCAGTGCAGAAGATGCACTTAATCCTCAAGAGGCTTGAGGCCATAGGCAAGGGGGAGGCCTGGTTCGGGGAAGCACCCTCTTGGAGGCCAGAGGGAGGAGGAATGGGATGAGCAACTGTGGGAGGAGGACTAGGGGGCAATAAATTGAATGTAAATAAATAATGTAATTTAAAAAATAATAAAAAGATGATTAAAAGATATATAGTGGGTGCTAGAAATCCAAACTTGGGTCCTTCTGTTTGAGAGCAAGTACTTTACACACTGTGTCATCAACAAAAAATTCTTAATAGCAAAAAAAGTGAAGCGTTCATTCCATGTGCCTATCAACCAAGGAACACAAGATGTGGTGTCTCTATGGTGTGGAGTATTATTTACCCATGAAAGGAAATGACGTGCTGAGACATGCTGTGGTGCAGAGAGACTGGGAAACAGTGTGCCTTAAAGGATGAAGTCAGACCAGGAGTCCATGCTCGCTGCTGCTCCATTTGTATTATATTCAGAAATATGGAGAGAGAAAGTGATCTTCAGCTGTCATTATTGGAGGGGCACCTGTACAGTAAGCACTAAACAATATAATCTTTTTTTCATGATGAAAATGTTCTAGAAACATACAAGTGTACCAAATTTGCTGGACTGTGCATTCACAATGGGAATTTTATGGTATATAATTTATATTTCAGTTTTAAAGAGTGGCCCAAGTGTTTCAACCATGATACATTTTAAGAAAACAGTGTCTTTTGATTCAGTTTACATGGTAAATTTGAGATGGATTGGAGAAGATATGTGTGAAAAATTAAGATGTTGAATGTAGAACTTAACACACACACCCAAAAAACTGTAGTTAGGAACTACAAGAGAAGAGATTGATTATAGTTTAGTACATTAGAGTACAAAATGTCTGCATACTAATATTGTAACTGAAATACATGGAAAAGTGGGGTATCAAAAGAAAATATCTGAACCACATGACAATGGCTTAGTATTCAGAATGTATAAGAGTATATTTTCCAAAATGGCTAATCAATCGAAGAACTGGCTAAAAGACAGGAAACATCTTAGAATTCACCTAAGAAGAAATATCAACATTCCATAAGCATAGCCAAGATCCATACGAATAAAGGAGCCGAAAGCAAACAGTGCCGAGCGAGCGGCGCAGAGTTCCAGTGCATTTCAGCGCTGGGGAGGCGTTTTCAAAGCCATATAGAAATGACACTCATGTGGACCAACAGGCGCAAAGAGAAGCTGGTACAATCTTTTAGAAGAAAAAGAAATTGGCAGGATATTCCAAAATCTGCATATTGAAGCCTAGGAATTTCAAGTCTAAATAAAACCCCAGGCAGAGAGGCAGACGGAAAATGCACAGAGCCGCTGAAGAAGGGCGCGTGTCGCCAGTTTATTTTAGCAAAGCACCGGAATCCTCAAGTGTCCATCTGCAGACAAATGCTTGGCTCATCCCTCTGTATTTACAACATTATGCAGCCTCCAGTCCCTGTTCTTGCATAGCAAGATATTGAGGTGATTTCCAGGAAGAAATTAACTTTCAAAATATTATTCATAAGGATTAGAGAGACAGGTCAGTAGCTGCTGCCAAGCATGAGTTAGATTCCCCTGAACTCATAATATGGAAGGAGAGAACCAACTCTTGCAAGTTGTCTGACATCAACTCTCTCTAACACTCTCTCTCTCTCTCTCTCTCTCTCTCTCTCTCTCTCTCTCTCTCTCTCTCTCTCTCCCTCTCCCTCCCTCCCTCCCTCTCTCTCTTTCTCTCTCTCTCTCCCTCTCCCTCTTTCTCTCTCTTTCTATCTTTATCTTTCTCTCTTTCTCTCTCTCTATCACACACACACACACACATCACATGTCAAAAAAAATGTTAAGGATGATATATACAATCTGGTCTGATTGATATGAAGCAAAACTAAAGAGAAACATGCAACCTATGAAAGATGTCAACTGCAGCTACCTCTGGTAAGGAGGCCAACCTAGGAAGGGGTGAAACATATTTCTGGCCTTGAATTTACATATCATTTTACTGTTTGAAGTTTTATAAGAACTAGATGACCAAGATTTGTGTAAAATATAAAGTATACTTTTTGTATTTATACTATTTCATAGAGCTACTTTCAAGTTTTTATTCACTCCATGAAAAACAGGAAAATTCTTACCTTCCAAGTTCTCAATTCTTTCAATGTTGTTTAATGCTAAGTTCAGATATTCAAGTTTCTTCAGCTTGCCAACATTTTCTGAAACACAAATAATATAATTAATTGGCCTTCAAGAGAGAATATTATTTTATAACTCGTCCTGAAAATGGTACAGAGAAGCAAAGGATTACGCGTGGCTAGTGGCTTTTCCCATCTTTACTGTCTTAATTGCACCTTCTGCTGCTGTGATATAAATCACCTTGATGCAGAGCAACTTGGGGAGGAAAGGGTTTGTTTCTTCTTACTCTACCTGATAACAATGCAGCACTGAAGAAAATCAGGGCAGAAGAAACTCTCAAAGCATGAAACTGCAAGCTGGAGCTGAGGACTCAGAAGGAATGCTTACTGTGCTGTTCCACATGGCTTGCTTAGCTTGATATCTTACACCATCCAGGACTCCCAGCCCAGGGAAGGCTCCACACGCAGTGATCTAGGCCCTCCCACATTCATCAATCAAGAAAATGCACCACAGTTTTGCCCACTGGCCAATCTGGTGGGGGAAATTTTCTCAATTGAGGTTCCCTCTTCCCAAACGTCTCTAGCTTGTGTCAAGTTGACATAAAACTAGACAGAACACCTATACAACAGACACTGGGTTGCCTGCAGAGCTTTCATCTCTTCCTCCCTTCCTCTTAAGAGTACTGATGTTTGCACATGTCCCTATCCATCTCCAACCCCACTTGGGCTATGTTTAGGCAAGCTGGCCAGTGTACAGTACTCAATAATTCCTGCTCAGTTTTGAAGACAGCAGAACAAAGCCTTAAGCCAACCAGCCTGCAGCATTTCCTGGCAGCCATGTGCTAAAGAAAAAGACACCCCCCGCCCAAGTAGTCAAAGTCAGGCAAAAACTCTGTGCTCTCTGCTTTGGGACTGTGTATCTCTTTTTACTACAAGAAGATTACAAGGTTATAACTGTTATCCACATTAGTCACCCTGCTTGGTCATAAAGGAACCAGCTTTATTCTGTGGTGGTGGATCAGAGAAAAGGGACCCACTGCCCTTGGAATCCACTTTATCTCAACCTATATTTGGACAGATAATAGATTTCCTTACAGGCAAGCCATAAGAAATGGGCTTTCCTTTACTTACAGCTAAAATTAACCTATCATGAGATTATGGGATTTTTAAAAATAAATCTGAAAACCCATTCAGACAAAACAAATATGAGCTAGACAAAGAATCATTGTTGAAGTGTTTCTAAAATAGTTGATAATAAGACACAGCTAACTATTTTGTGTTTGCCATATCATATTCTAGGTATTTCACCTATATTACATTTTAAAAGCCATTTAATTACATTTTATGTATTGTGGGCAAATGCATGGGTATGAATGAATGTGTCACAGGATATATGTGGAAATCAGAAGACAACTTGTGGGAGTCAGGTCTCTCCTTCCACCATGTATATCCTGGAGGTTGAACCCAGGTCATCAGGCTTGGAGGCAAGCATCTTACGCACTGAGCCATCTCACAGTCCCCCCCCACCTCTTTCTCTGTGTGTGTGTGTGTGTGTGTCTGTGTGTGTGTCTGTGTGTGTGTACGTGCCTGTATACACATTCATATGTTAATATATACAGAATTAATGCACATATCCAAGATTAAATGGTAGAGCCAGAAGATTCCAGAGCTGTGAACTAAATCATTACACTTTACCTTAAAAAGAAGAATGATTTGAGACAAAAAAAGAAAGATGGCATCCCTGTCCCTGTCTCACCTAAGCAATGATGCTCTCCCAGGTCCTCTGAGATATTATGAGTAGCAAGCTTGACTTACTATCATTGCACTAAGCACTATTCACAGTTCATTTAAACTTAAATATATATATATATATATATATATATATATATATATACAATAGATAGTTCTCAATGCCTTGAGTCCATCTCAGGATGAATTAGGCTTCTCTTAGTGATTAAACTACTCAAGTGGTACTAATGTTAACAAAAGAGTCTCTGAGCACTCAGTCACCATCATACTTAGAGGTTCCTGTGTGCCAGTGATCAGGAAAGGCAGGATGTCTCATCTACATCCTGAACAAAAATATCATTCCTTTTAAAATTGCCACCCCACAATGGGATACTTGGCTTGCAAAGAACTCTTCTCCCTACCTTTGTTATTTGCATAGCCCTCAAATGCTGGAATCACCCAGTGGAAATCAATGTAAGAGTTGTACAAGTGGAATTTCCTCAGTTAAATCCCCAAGAGGCAGAGAGCAAACTAGTCAGAAGATGGGCAAAGATTCTATAAGTTCCCTCTTTAGCAGCCTGTAAGAAGTTTGAGAGCTCAAACCCAAATTACTGTGCCAGCCAATGTTTCCGAATGCCACAAGCAGGACCATAGACTTCTGGTTGACCAAATCTCTATTCAGGTGAAAGAGACTTGTGCATCAATGCCTGCAACCCCCCCCCATCCTTACAATGCCCACAAGAGAGATGTTGGGAGAGCAGATCACTGGTGGCTACCCCACCCCCAGGCTCTGTACTCTAGTGGGACCCCCAGATGGTCCTTAGCTCACACTTGCTTCATAGCTGAGCAGAGCCTTCCTCCCACAGCCCATCTGTCCCACTGAGTGAGCCAGGGAGCTCTAGGAAAGGGAGTTGCTTTGCAAACTTCCACCTCAATGGTAGGACAGCATGTGTGGATCCTAGAGAAGTACTTTCCCTTGCTAAACACATGCCTAAATGCCTATGGGTGGAGCAGCATTGAAAAATCCCATTATTAGAATTTAAAAGAGTGTTTAATTTAAGAATACTTCGGAAGCAAAAATTTAAGCTTTCTCACAGCCCTGAAAAGGCCTGAAATACTATGCTGCTAATTAGTAATTGTGATGGACCCAGCTGTGGAGATTAAAATTTCGGGAACTCTTTTGAGATCTGTACAATTAGCACGGTTCTGCAAAGTGCCCATGAATAAAAGCTGGTGGTTTTTAATCTAACTGCCTTTTTAATTGAACAGTGTGTCAGAGTTTCCACTTTCTGGTAAAGCAAAAGACACCAAGAATATTTACGTGAGGAAATACATAGTTTTACTAAATCTTCCCAAAATGTTGCAAATCTGGGCTTTTTATAATCTTCTAACAAATTTCCAATTATCCACAGCATGCTACCAGGTTTTCTCAGCCTTGGTAATGTTAATGTTTTGAGCTGGATAATTCTTGTCCTGCAGTAGTATTCCTGTCTTCTGCTAGGGTAGGACATGTATGCATGCACACACATCTATAACCAAAATGTCTCCAGCCATAGCTAACTGCCTCCTGTTGAGAACCTCTCCACATCCCTGAAAAGTTAACTATTACCTCAACACTCACTCCTGGACTCCAGAGGTGGCACTGTCTCTATCTCAACTAATTCCAGCTATTCCTCCAGTATTACTCACTTTTCTCCTCTCCCTCTGGCTTTGGTTGGCTAACCAGGACAGCCTGGGCTAAGTAATGGCATACATATCTTGGCAGCTTTCATCATTAAACACTTAACTCATTTTAAGCACAATAATCCTCAAACCATCTTATGCCATCCTGCATCCCTTGTTACAGTAAGTGCTGTTAGCACTGGTTTATAAATAAGCCAACTCAGTCTTGGTCAGCTTAACTGACTTGCTTATTTTCACACAGATCAAAAATAAGGGACAGACAAAGGGTTCACAGACAAGTCTACCTGATGCCAGAGCCCATGCTTGCTTTTACAAGTAAGGCAGAGTTGCTTTAAGAAGTGACTCTCCATTTGTTCCTTTATGGCAGGACCCCATTAAATGACTCTGTAGATCACCCTTTTTCTGCCTCTTAACTTGTTGTTAGGGCAAGGAGGAATGCAGGAGACAAGAAAAGATCAATTTATCCAATGGGAAAATTGGGAGAAGAAACTGGGCATACACAGTATCTCCTTCCTCCCTCCCTTCCTACATTCCTTCCTTCTTTCTTTTCTTCTAGGATGTTCCTGCCAGAGAACAAATGATCTAGCTCCCTCCTGCCATAAAATATGAACCTACTTGGGCAGGAGAAAACTGTGGCTGCTCAGCTTACCCAGTAACAGAGAGATTTACCCTGAGGGTAGTATTACTAAGTCTATCTACTTAATAGTGTGTATTACATTCTTCTAATAGTTTTATCAGTGTAACAGTTTGAATTAGAATGGTCCCCATTGGCTTATATGTTTGAATGGTTGGTCCTCAGTTGGTGGAACTGTTTGGGAAGAGTAGAAGGATAAAGAAGTGTGGCCTTGGTAGAGGTGTGGCCTTGTTGGAGAAGCTGTGTCATTGGGAATAGACCTCAAGACTTCAAAAGTCCATGCCTTTACCCATGTATCTCTCTTGCCCATATAGCTATTGTCTCAACATGTAAGTTTTCAGCTTATATACCATGCCTTATTGTCCGCTGTTATGACATCACCATGATGGTCATGAACCCTCTGAAACTGTAAACCAGCTCCCTGTGAACTCTTCCTTCTATAAGTTGCCCTGATCATGGTATCTCTTAACAGAAATAGAACAGGAACTAAGATCATCAGTTACAATACTAATAGTTTGATCTTTTTTCCCCATGACTTCTGCACTTACCTGTCAATTCCATTCCAAACTAAAATCATCTTAATGCACCAAACTGATAACAATACCTTGTACTCAACACTATGGCATAACTGAACTAACATAGTGTGTGGTTCTCTGACAGACATTTAAAAATATATACTTTTCAGAGCAAATTTGTCCTCATAGAAAAACTGACCATAACTTACAGCTCTTAAATACCTCATTCTTTCCCAGCACAACCCCAATCGCTGGTCCCCAATGCTATTAATACCTTATCCGTGTAGGAGGAACTAAGGTGGGAGGAGTTAGGAGAGGAAGAAGAAGAGGAGGAGTAAGGAGGAGAGGAGGAAAAAGGAAGAGGAGCTAGGTGACAAGAGAGGAGAAAGAGATAGCGAGGAGATGGAGGTTGATGTTCATGTGTCTGTAGCAGTCAAAGGTAGTTGGTATATCTAGGTTGGGTATTGTGTTACACTTCTGATTGCATGGGTATCTTGTTACTGATCATTACCAAATATATAAGTCTTTGATTAATCTTTAAGCATTAGAGTCTCATCTTTCTAATGGGTCCACGTGGATGGTGGGATGGTCTAGGCAATGCCCAGCCTTGCAGAGACAAGAGTGGGAGATTGAGCCATCTCCCATGCTGACGTCTCGTGGGTGGCAGGGCTGGTGTTTCTGGCAGGCCAGTTCTAGCTGTGGCGCGCACGTGGCCTCCAGCCGAGAAACACGGAAGCTGAGCTAGGCAGAGCCACTGCAGCCTAGATAGTCGGCTTGACCAGAATCCGATTTTATTTAATTATTTCAACATATCCGAAAGTGGCAGACTCATCAAAACTGATAAGCCTACTTTGACATATCATCATCCACACATTTCTTCTTGGTCAGTGTTTCTCAACCTTCCTAATGCTATGACCCTTTAATACAGTTTCTCATGTTGTGACCCCCCCAACCATAAAATTATTTTTGTTGCTACTTTATGACAGTAATTTTGCCACTGTCGTGAATAATAATGTAACTATTTTTGGAGATAAGAGGTTTACCAAAGGTAAACTGGTTGAGATCAGCTGCATTTGGTATTATATATGTTGTGTGTATCTCATCAAACAAACATGTATCCACATTATCCTACATGCTCTGACTATCCATTGTTAATTACTAGTAGGTCCTGTAAAGCACTGATCTTTTTGTGGTTTTTATACTTCTGTCTTTTCCAGAATGTCAGTTAGACTCATGTAGGCTTAGCTTTTGCTTATTGGTTGCTTGCTCTCAGTTATGTACATTGAAGATTCCTCTGTTTTCATGCCTCAGTAGTAATTTCTTTTAAGCTGTGAATAACATTCCATTTCATGGATGTAGCATAGTTGTCTGAAGGATATCTTGGTTGCTTACAAGTTTGGGCATCTGTGACTTTTTAAACCAAAAAAATAAAAATTATTGGTATACATATATGACAAGGACTTTTAAATCCTGACATGATTTTTCCAGTTTTGCAGAGAGATGTATAGCTGTGGAATGCATGACTCATATCCTCCCACTTTGAAAACTGGCAGGAGATTATATGCACCTCACACTTAACTCTGCTTCCAATTCCATAAAAACATCCCTCTGGATGCCAGGGCCAACTACACAAAGGGTGCCCTGGGGTATAATCTGCAAACAGCTACTAAGAGGTGGTTGCCTCTCTTTCCCTGTGGCCTTTTTATTCAGTTGTTTTTTCAAAGGTCTCCTGCTCAAATGATAAAAAAAAAAAAAAAGTCATGAGGAAAAAAATGAATGAGACTTACCAATTTTTCCAATGAGGTTATTTTGAAGATAGAGAATTTTTAAGTCCCGGCACCATTTGTCAATATGTTCTAGCCTTTCTATTTCTTGCTGATGCAAGGAGAGTTCCTCCAGGGAAAAAATGACACAGTCATTGTGCTCAGCATTCCGCCGAATAAGATCTTCTGTGACTGAAAGAAATGTTGCGGCATATTATATTCCCACTCCCATTGTTCTGTATCAGGTTATTATGTTATTAACAAGCTGAAGACTCTTTGCAGCCAAGCATTGATTCTTCAGGCCCAAGCAGTTCTCAGACAGAGAGAGATTAGAAAAACCCTGCTTGCTGCCCACCTCCTGGGGTCTGTGCAGAGCCATGATTTGAGGGAAAGAAAAGAGACACAGTAAAGCCTTTAGTCTCATTTGTCTTTGCCTGTTTAATATCTGTGTCAGTTTTGCTGCATAGATGGAGGAGGAATTGACAGTTGACAGCTGTAAGAACACAAATATAGCCTCTCCTGATGGCACCAGGCCAAACTGGATAAGATCCACTAATGGATCTAAGACAGAGAGAGCAACTGGATCACAATCTCACTGACAAAGGACAAGACATAAAAATTTCTTTCAGCATCCAGTAAGAAAGGCCATTCATCACTTAACCAATAATTGCTCATTTAGAACTTCAGATAAAGAAAAGAACAACCAAGATCCCAGATAACTACTTACAAGAAGAGCAAAACTCATTTGCTTGGAAACTTGATCTGTTGTGTACACATGAAAAATTACAAAACTTTCAATTGTAATATGGTTGTATCCATCCATCAACTTTTTAATCTTATAATAGATAAATACCAGTAGTTTCTCATTTTCACACTAAACCACAAAGGGTTGATGCATCTGGGTAGACTGTTGTTCACACAGGATGTTTTGGGGTAAAGATTTAAGTGAAGCTATGAACAACAGAGGTGCAAACGAACAAACCCAGATAAGATTAAACGTATCTAAAATGGTGGAATGTTTTATGAGAATCGACCGCCTAGTCAAACATATCAAAAGACAAGTTCTTTACTCCAGCCATCCAGTGCTAGCATCTGAGTGAGCTGGAAGGGATAACACCTTCATTATGTCACAGAGACATAGTGCTTATCTTTGCAAGCATTCAATAGGGGTCTGCTTCAGGGATTAGTACTTCTGCCACATGTTGAGATGTACAACTTCAACTATTAAAATTTTTACTGCCCAAGGAAAACAAATAGAAGTTTGTGAAATGTACAGAGCCTTTTTGATAGTAGGAGATGCCCAGTCCTGAATAAAAGACACACAACTTTTATTATTTGCAATAAGCCTTAAACAGCCTAAGAGCTTGGCAGATAGCCACCCTCTATGATATTAAAATCTAATTTTCTATCAATAATCCTGAGTTATACTATGTTTCATCTGGGCTGATAGGAGAAATAATTCTGTGAGAGAAGGCAGGGAGAGAAGTCATAAAAGAGATGAGGAGACGGAAGCATGAAAACATGGTACCTGAGCTCGGGTAACTAGCCACATGGCAAAATGTAGGTTAAAATAAATGAGTATCTTTAGTTATGATCTAGTCAGAGAGTAACCTAACTATATGACCAAGGTATTTGTAAATACAATCTGAGTCTGAGTCTAATTTCTGAGAGCATGGAGTTGGGAGGCAGAATCAGGATTTAACTTCAACAGCTACAGGCAAACAGAATCTCTTACAACATTGAAACACCTGTTGGCTTGTCCTTGTTTCTGAAATGGAACAATGGAGTCCATTCTTCCCACCTTCCTAGACACCTTTGCATTTTGTATGTAAAAAAATGTTTGGATTGAGAGTAACTAACCAAGTTATATATACATGACATACATATATACATGACATTAAAATATTCTTTGAATGATATTCTATAGCATACCCAGGTTTTATACTATTAGAATCTGGAAGAAATTTCACCAAGTTCTAGAAATAGGACATTGAATTTAGCAGAGCACTTATTCTTAATGACTATGTGACACTACCTCCTACGTGAACAAGTAGGATACCCTGGGCATTCAACCAGCTCCTAAATACAGTCTTATTCAGCTAAGACAAGTTTCCCATGGCACTATCAGCTGGCACATCTCCATGCTATATTCCAAAAGACGGATATATTTTTTGTCTTTTTAAAAAGATAAAAACACATATGAACTCGACTTCTTGTTTGCAATGTGCTGAACTCTCTGCATCTTCCAATGGGAGAAGGGAGGGTGGCCCAAGATGACACTTCCTTAGCAGAACATTGGGGAATAAAAGTAGAGAAGTTACAACACAATGCATGATGCTTAGCACTGACTCTCAAGTGCCTAATGGTGTATCTGTGACCTAGAAACCCACAGGAGGGAATGGGTTGTTTAGGGTGTGCTAGTATTAGGCCTGAAGTCCATGAACCAAGAAAATGTCCACATCCAGAAGTCATGTCATTTCTTTAGACCAAGCCTAGAGATAGAACAATAACATTTGTTATCTAAGTAGTCCCATATCTGCTTCTCACTAACCACTTCCCAGGATCATTTACATAACAGACTATGCACAGGTTTGCATCCCTGATATTCAGTTTTCAAGGAGCACCTGCTTGCTTGATACATGGATGACTTGGATATACAGGCTAGAGTGAGCACAGCATAAAGAAAGAATCAGGGATGCAGACAGGAAAAAAAAGAGAAATGAGAAGTGAACCAGAGGACCAGCTCTCCCTGAGCTTCTACACTACAGCAAAGACTCTCAAGGAGTCTGAAAAGTTATATTAAATGTACCCTTTGGGTTGTATGAAACTATACTTCTCAGGGACAGAACTTGTACTTTATTTAACAGGTTGGTTTATAGCTTGCTGAGCCATTACTTGTCCCCAAATTCTGGTTGAGGCTTAGCTTGATGTATACATGAATACATAACCCAACTTTTCATGTGCATACATGAACACTGATAGTTGCTACCCATGGTGAAGTCAAATGTGTGCGTGATAATCCTGGCAGCGTCTTAAGTGTCACTTGATCCATGAGCATCTACACAGCCCACTCAGGTAACCTGGCTGCTTAACAGCATCACTACCTCCTCCAGCTCTGCTGCCTCAAAGTCTTCTCCCCTTTTTCCAGCCCTGAAGGCTGAGAGGATGGAATACTGGCACGAAAAAATTCTTCTCTTGCTGCATCTCCCAAAATATAAGAAAGTCATATCATTGTGCTATTATATAAGTAAAGCAGGTTGTCAGGATATGGTTGTCAAATTTTCCCTTTTAGCATTGTGGATAGATATTAGGAAGGAATGATGTTTATCCTTATTTCCTATGTGCAAGAGTTAACATGGTAAGCATTGCTATCAATTTAAATGGGCAGGATGAAGTAAACTCTTTTAGCATGGAAACCAATCACACAGAGAGGAAGATCCTCACAGTTATGATCAGAACAAAAGTGTTTCTGAGAAGGAACTACTG